TGTGTGTGTGTGTATATATATATATATACACACACACACACAAATGAGTATTTCATACAATTTCAGAGAACTTTAATTCACAGTGCACTTCCAAATCTTACATATTTATATACAGGCATGTAGTAGGCCTTTTTGTAACAACACTCGATTTCGGTGACGTTTAAGTGCACGGCCAGCACGATTTAGCCAATCCACATTATTCGTGAAATAAAACGTGCAGCATTTTATTGGTGAAGCACACGATTAATTCTTCTTTGGTTTGCCTCCAACAGGGCGATAAATAAAATAAAATATTTTTTTCAGAATGTAATATATTAAGTTCAAGTGGTAGGTAGAAGCTTCAGTAACACGTACTCAGTAACTTTTTTCACGGTCTCGATGTAATGTTCTTAACCCAAAGCAGTCGATGCTTCTTCGGGTGGGATCTGACACATCACGCGCGGGCGCTCCAGTGTCTGCGGACTACCCAGGTCGTTGTGAGACGTGTTCGCTGTAATATAAAATAGGCTTGAAGCCTTTCTAAATAGAGCACTTTTTTCCCACGCATTCGTATCCGCCTTGCCGTCACGAATGTGCTTAGTTCACTGGCACTTTTCTTCTTTTCATTCTTGAAAAGGTCATAATTACCGTGAAATAAATTCAGTCACCTTGGGGGTGGGGAGCTCTTGGTGATCTTCACATCTTGACATGCGCCGACAACGAATCCCTTCCTAAAACATTGTTCCCTGATTCAACGGGAGTTAACTGAAGGGGAAAAAATCCTTTTACGTTGAAAATGCCCAAGGCTCTATCCAAACCACCCATCAATCATCACGTACAAGAGCCTGTGAATTTTGTCCAGTGCCATTGATCCTGCTTTCTTATGGGACGATAACCGGCTTTAGGACGGTCTAACCCATCTACCAATTCCAATTATCTGAAAGGGTCCATTTAAACAATTATATGTTCACTATTTCAGTTATATGTGCATTAATTTTTAATTAGTTTTCTTTTCTTAGCCTATAGTTTATTAAAATTTAGCCTATACATTTATTAAGTGTTAAGCGTAATGTTCTGCGATTTTAATATCGCAGCCTTGCATTTATTGAAAAACGTCGTTTCTTTACATAGGAAGTCCTGCAATTGGCGAACAGAGAATTAAGGCAGCCTCTTTAACAAGCAAAGAAGAGTAAGTCCAGATTAAATAAGTAATGCATTTCCGTGCTGTTCAAGAAAGTGTTACTAGTGCACGTTTATCCTTTTTCTAGGAAAAAAAATTAAGAAAAAGAAAAAATAAATAAAACAAGTATTTTCAAACCCACACATACCTCCTAAATTTACAAATAATTTATATGAGCGAAAAAATGTTGTCCTTAAGAGGAAAGAGAGAGTGAGGGATGATCGCTTATTTGTCAGATGTATTTCCGTTATATTTACTTTTTCTGCCAAATCTGAAATTCTTTCTTAGTAACGAAATGGAACGGCTTATCAGCCACACATATCCGGAGAGCCAATATGTGAAGGGAGAGGGTCGATGACATGTGTGTCAAAGTCGTGTCCTCTTTCGGCAGAGACTAGCAGCTAGCAGGTCGCTGACTTAAAAGCGAAGCGTTTGGTTAGTGAGTGAGGCGGACCCAGCGCGTTTCCTCTCCAGGGCTTTCCGTGGTAGCGTGCCTCGCGCATTCCCGGTAGCTCGTAAAAACCATCCATACATCTAACTGCTTATCCTGATCGGGGTCACGAGGGCTCATAAAGCTGTGCTTACAGCCTGCTGCTTCTCAAACGGTGCCATACGTCAACAGAAAATTCTCTGTGGTATGTTTCATAGGAGGGGAGGACAAAAAGAGGAATGTAACACTATTAATGTTCCTGTCTCTTTCTGGATTGCTTTGGAATAAACGGTATCAGAGATTCGAGAAAAATTAGCCAGTGTATCTTTTGAAAATTTCAGATGTGGTTCAACAGGACAAACAAACCTCTGACACTGAGGGTTGAATGGTGGCCCTCGGTGAGCCTGGTTTATAGCGGCTGCTTTTGAGTTAAGAGCATAATAATCCATCATAAGTATGTGAGGTCAGGCTGGCTTCTGGGAAAGTGTGCAGCCCTGCTGTCTTGGTGTTTGTGTCAGGAAGCCCGCATGCGCCTGTGCATGCCTTCCTCTCCCTGCAGCACTACGTGCTGACGCTCATCGCCATGGTCGCCCACATCTACAAGCACCCCAGCATAAAGAATTCCATCAGCGTGGTGGTGGTGAAGATGCTGGTCGTGGAAGATGAGGACCTGGGGCCGTCTGTCTCCAGCAATGGGGGTGTGACGCTGCGCAGCTTCTGTGCCTGGCAGCAGCTGTTCAACCCCCCCAGCCAGAGACACCCGGAGCACTATGACACAGCTCTACTCTTCACCAGAGAGGTAGCAGACCCTATTTGGCTTGGACTTTGTTTACTGCCCTGACATCATCATTATGATATCATCACAGCATAATTGTGGCATCATTGATAGTTGCAGTGTTACTATGACATCATTGTGATGTGATTGTGATATCAACACGACATTGTGGTAATGTCACTATAGCATCGCTGGGCCATCAGTAGTGGGTAGTCATTTAAAACATACAGAAAAGCCATTGAGCACTAAGTTACTGCTAGATTTTTGCCACTGGCGTTATGGGTCCACTGGCTTACTGAGTATGAGGTATTTTCCAGAAACTTAATGCAGTGACAGCGCCATAATACAGTGGGAAGGTAAACACATGGCTCCTGCACATTGGCTGGCAGGGATGGAGGGCTGGGCATGCGCTGGAAGATCAGAGCCCCACTGCATCCCGTAGTATGGAGAGGCAGGGCGCTGCTCCCCCCTCAGGACACAGATGTGGTTTGAATCACATATTGCACGCCTGGTGGTCTGTCACAAGCCCAAGACTGGTGTGCACCGGTCACAAGGAATTCGACATGAGGGGGAAACTCGAGCATGTTAGTTAAAACACATGCTGGATGGCACAGACTCCCCACGCTCCCGCTTCTTCTCATCAGGGCGTTTTTCCAGGAGTATTTATTTGCTTGGGTTTACAATGGAAACACTGACAGTCATGGCGCGCTGGCGAGCCTGTGACTGGGCCTGGGATGGCATGCCTGCCCTGACACAGCCTGCCCTCACCTCTAGGACATCTGTGGGCACCAGAGCTGTGACACGCTGGGCGTTGCTGACGTGGGCACCATGTGTGACCCCAAGAGGAGCTGCTCCGTCATCGAGGACAACGGGCTGCAGGCTGCTTTCACGACCGCCCACGAGCTTGGTGAGGCTCGGGGAGACCAGAACACTGTGCGGGTTCTGCAGGTTTGGGGCTTACGCTCTTATCTGGAGAGGTTAGAGAAGCTTCTCCCAGCCCTCATCAAACCATTTTTAAGCTCAGAAAAAGGGGAATGAATCTACCATTAACATGCCTTCATTATAATACCAGTATGATTCTACCCTGGTGACCCTGTTCACAGCGACAGTAACAGCGGCCTCTGCCCCCACCCCCCACACACAGGTCACGTGCTCAGCATGCCACACGACGACTCCAAGAACTGCCAAGGCCTCTTGGGGCCCCTGGGTCAGCACCACCTAATGGCCCCCCTGTTCGTGCACCTTAACCGCAGCCTGCCCTGGTCGTCCTGCAGCGCCCTCTACATCACGGACTTCTTTGACAATGGACATGGTGAGTGGTGTGATGGGACGGGCACTGAAGCGTCTGCCACAGGGTCAGACTCTGCTGAGTGAGAGCAGCCCCCAGTCAGGTGACTTATTGACAAAGTGGGTGTCAGAAGTTACATACAGCTCATTTCAAGTAATGTCATATTCTGACATGCGTAAAGCACAATTAATGCGCCAAACCTATAACCTTTCCACCACTGTCAAATTAAAAACTCAACACTCACTGGCTTTTGCTGGCCAGAATGTGAGCCAGGCCAGATGGAGCCCAGCCACAATAAGGGGCTTGGTTTGTAGTTTGGCATTGGAAGGTGGAGAAGAAGGCCTCATAACACATGCCAGCTTCCACAGGCGAGGTTTTGCACTGCACCTTCCCTGGTTTGACTTGCTACAAAACCACAAATTACAGACTGAGAAACCACACAAACTAATTCAGCTGGGAGTGCAACAATAACGGGCTGAAGAGTCGGCTTCCCCTCTCTCCGGGTTTCCAGCTACCAAGTGCCGCTGTCACATGTGCTGGGCCTTGGTGGGAATGAGGTTTGGAAGGCCGGGGGCATCTCATAGGGAAAGGCAGAGCTTGGGGCTGATTGGCTGTAAGAATTACAGCATTTTAAGTAGTTCTTGGTTATTGAGCTTGAAATGGGAGTGACTTTGCTGATGTGTAGCCATTTGTGAGGATCTTCATCTGTCAGTTTTTCAAGTTGTCCTGCTAACCGCAGCTGTCTGTGCAGGACTTACAGCACGGCTAACTAGGGAAGTCTCAGCTTAGACCCACTATCTAACTTTAGAGTAGAGCAGAATGTTCTCCCAGTTTCAGAGAAATAACCCCAAAAACTGCAAACATGTTAATGTGACTCAAGAAGCTCCCCAGTCCAGAGCTGACCGTTAAACGGGGATTTGATGAGGTCCTGGCCGAGGCGTGAGGGCTTTCTGGCGGCGTCTGATGGACCCCCAAGAGCAGGATCTGTGCCTCCCCCCGGACTCCGCCAGATGCACATTCCTGTGACACGTTGCCGAAATGTCAGCCGCATGACTCAGATGAGCTGTGGTTGCATAAGCCCTGTTTTTTTTGAATGGAACATCCTGCCGGCCTCAGCGAAGAGAAGCAGATAGATCTGAAATGAGCCAGACCCACCTTTCTGACTGTACTCTGGCCACCTCCACCCCGCAGTTTGCCATCGGCAGGAATAACCCTGCCAGTGGTGCCTTGTCTTGTGACAGGGGACTGTCTGCTGGACGAGCCTGATGCCGCCCTGTCCCTCCCCACGCGGCTGCCGGGCCATTCCTACGGGCTGGACCGACAGTGCCAGCAGACCTTCGGCGAGGAGTTCGCTCACTGCCCCAACACGTCAGACTCAGACATCTGCAGTCAGCTCTGGTGCAGGGAGTGGGGGGAACCGCATTGCACCACCAGGAATGGCAGCCTGCCGTGGGCAGAGGGCACACCGTGTGGAGCTGGCCGAGTCTGCCAGGAGGGGCTCTGCGTGGCGGCAGACGAGGCTACACCACCCAAGGCAAGCTGCACAGTGCTGCCCGCTCTCGTACGCCCTTCCTCTTCACACGCCCGCCTGGCAGAATACACCCACAGTGCTGCCCGCTCTCGTACGCCCTTCCTCTTCACACGCCCGCCTGGCAGAATACACCCACAGTGCTGCCCGCTCTCGTACGCCCTTCCTCTTCACACGCCCGCCTGGCAGAATACACCCACAGTGCTGCCCGCTCTCGTACGCCCTTCCTCTTCACACGCCCGCCTGGCAGAATACACCCACAGTGCTGCCCGCTCTCGTACGCCCTTCCTCTTCACACGCCCGCCTGGCAGAATACACCCACAGTGCTGCCCGCTCTCGTACGCCCTTCCTCTTCACACACACAGCTGGCAGAGTGTGCCCACAGTGCCGTCCGCTTTCTTATGTTTTCCCTCTTCACACACTCAGCTGACAGAGTGTACCCACAGTGCCACCCGCTCTGGTACACCCTGCTTGCAATTAGTATGGTTTTGGTGAGCCTCTGGGGCTGAGGTCTGCTGGCCATAGCACCACGTGGAATTCCTTAGAAACACAAACCGTATCCCTGCCAAACACACCATGGATTTCGCAAGCAATGACACACAGGGGCAGGAATGTGTATGTGTGTGAGTGGGAGCGGCCAGACACAAGCACGCGTGGCCTTGGGATCACAGGCTGTCTGTGTGGCCCTAGAAATTAGGCTTTTCTCATGGGCCCCCATGTGGCCCCAGGGCCGCAGGCTGTCTGCATGACCTCCTACGTGGCCTCAGGGCCGCAGGCTGTCCGCTTGGCCCCCGTGTGGCCCTCTGCTTGGCCCCAGGGCCCGGCTCCTGCCTCCTATTAGGATGGCTCCCTCATGTTTGCTTTTGTCTGGTAATTTACATATTTGCACTGCAGTTGCTGTAATCCGCTGCAGTGGGCATACAGTAGCTGTTTTTTCATAGTCCCACTATTTCATAACCTAAAACTCTTAACACATAAACACATTCCTCACCAGGGCAGACTCTCCTATGTGAGCTTCCCTCCATAAGCATCCACAATTTGCTGGAGCCCTAACTGTTTGACGGGAATAACAGCAGACTGTCTCTGCTCATGCAGGTGGCTGTGGATGGCAGCTGGGGGGCTTGGTCACCATGGGGACGTTGCTCTCGGACCTGTGGCGGTGGGGTGGAGTTCTCGCACCGGCAGTGCACCAGCCCCGAGCCGCAAAACGGCGGGAGGTACTGCGAGGGCCAGAGGGTTAAGTACCGCTCCTGCCAGACGGGGGCCTGCGGGGGCGACGGTGGTGAGGCTCCTTCTGCCTTCTCCGCATATCTTAGCTGTATCTGAGAGCTCAAGCTGCGGCCAGGAACATAAATGCTTTCCTTTACCTGTATGTCCTGTTAGGGAAGAGCTTCAGGGAAGAGCAGTGTGAGAAATACAACAGCTTCAGCTACCTGGACATCCACGGAAATGTCAAGGAGTGGATCCCAAAGTACGCTGGAGTGTCGCCCCGGGACAGGTGCAAACTCTTCTGCAGGGCAAAAGGCAGCAGTGAATTCAAGGTGTTTGAAGCCAAGGTAGAGCCTGATGCCTTATACCAAGAAAACTAATTTGAAGTTTTGTTTGCTGCCTGTCCACAACCTGGCCCGGATAAGCAGCGGAAAATGAATGAGTGAATGATAAGGCAAGCTCTAGCTGACTAGATCACATGTCGGTTTGCTAACACAGGTTGTTGATGGCACCACATGCGGCCCCGACACCACCTCCATCTGCGTGCAGGGCCAGTGCGTCAAGGCGGGCTGCGACCAGGAGATCGGATCCAATGCCAAGCTGGACAAGTGCGGGGTCTGTGCCGGGAATGGATCTAGCTGCCGGAGAGTCGCCGGTGCTCTCAGCAAGGCCGTGTAAGCAGACGCCAGCGATTGTGTTGATCACCTGTATATCTCTGCAGAGCTTTACTGATCTCCTTACTACGCCACTGTTATGTTTATTTATTACTAGCTTATGGAAAGCAATTTAGCTGGAGTAATCCACGCCCCAAAGTACTGCATTAGCCCGACTATAAGACCACCCCCCATATTTTAGCAACTATTTTTAGAATAAGTTTTTGGAATACCAAATCTTACCTTTATGAAGAAATATACATTTATTTGAGAAGAACATATAGTAAGTTAACCAGCAATCGGATTACAATAAGTATACTAAACAGCAAACACTCCAAACAACAAATGTATTATTGGGGGGGGGGGGGTGAATATTACAAACTCCACAACCTTTGAGGGCACAGAATGTTTTCGATGCAGCAGACCCACATCAAGAGGGTAAAAAACGTACTGCAGAGAAAGGTTGAGCCATATTAATAAATAATATGACATCTTATAAAATTAATGTTACTGTCTTTATAAACAGCCACTATGGGCGCTTTTCCACCGCACTAAGTACGGTACTCTCGGTACTGTACTTTCGCTTTTCCATTGAATTCTGGTCGAGTACCAGTACCGAAAGTGAAGGATCATAATAACATGTTTGAATTCAGCAAAGAAATACCGCGCCGTGCTTTGTGATGATGTCAGTCAGGGGCGGTCACTGGAAAACTGACACAAAAGAAGTACTATACTTTTGGTACTTTACGGAAGTACCGAAAGTACGGTACCTGGTGCAGTGGAAAAGCACCCTATCAGTTTAATAGTAGCAGCAAAACAGACAGGGAAGCCAATTTACGCGATACTCAGAGATACACGGTAAACTCACGTACGGCCAGGGCTGCCAGCTCTCACACTCAGGGTTGCCACCTGTCCCTTATAATATGCAATCGTCCCGTATTGGAAGGACTGCTGCGTCTCATATTATACAGGCCGATACCGTATTATGAGGGACAGGTGATAACCCCATTCACGCACTTACGCTTTTTGACTGTCACGGTAATGCAAGAAATCTTACAGCAAATCTGTATCATGGTAAGTCAAAACACTTGTTGCAAAATATCGTATTTGGCGCCATCTACTACCTTTTTTGTCTAGATCCCAAATATAAACAGCAGTTTTTCAGACGCATTATGGGGAAAATTAAAACCCGTCTCATATTTGGGTCGACACGGTATTTCCATGAGATCTGAGCCAAAAACGTTCAGCTGGATGTCCATCACTTTCACCCTGCCTGGCCCTCTGGCTGTTAGCTGAACACTCTCAAGATTTTCTTTAGTTATGTCCTTTTCTTTCCTTAGCTACGGCTACAGTGATATTGTCACCATACCAGCTGGGGCCACCAATATCGACGTGAAACAGCGCAGCCACCGCGGCGTGAAGCATGACGGTCACTACCTGGCCATCCAGGCAGAGGACGGCAGCTACATCCTGAACGGGAACTTTTCTGTGTCGATGGTGGAGCAGGACATCCCGGTGGCAGGGGCCGTGCTGCGCTACAGCGGCTCCTCCACCACACTGGAGCGCATCCAGAGCTTCCAACGGCTCCGGGAGGCCATCACCATCCAGCTGCTAGCCACTGCGGGGGAGGCCTCCCCCCCCAAGGTCAAGTACACCTTCTTCCTCCCAAAGGACGTGCCATTCAGCAAGGCCAAGGAGAAGAAAGGTTCTCCACATGTGATCCAGCCACTGGGGGTGCCCCAGTGGTCTTTGGGCGAGTGGTCAGAATGTTCCAAGACCTGCGGCTCCGGCTGGTCACGGCGTGACGTTGAGTGTCGAGACACTGGCGGTTTCCTTTCTGAATTGTGTGACCAGGACCTGAGGCCTGCAGATATTCGGGCCTGTGCAGACCTGCCCTGCCCAGTCTGGCAGATGGGCCCCTGGTCCTCCTGCTCTCGAACTTGTGGTTTGGGCGTCCGTCGTCGCAGCGTCTTTTGCACTGACTACACAGGCAAGACAGTGGACCCAGAGAGGTGCGATCCGGCCCGCCTGCCTGAGCCAGTGTCAGGGGAGTGTCTCACCCAGGAGTGCGAGGGCCTGGCAGTACAGGGCGGGCAGTGAGGGCGACCTGAGCAGCAGAGTAGTGACCTACTAACCAGCCTTGACCGTGCTTCCAAGACAAGCAGGAAAACTGTAGGTTGAAACAGAGTGGATAGTGCACTAACTGACCCGAGCAAGTTATGAGGCAATGGCCTATTTCTAAGATTAACTTAAAAAGTTTTGTTGTTGTCTTTGTGTGTTTTTTTAATGAATAACCACTATTGACATTTTTTAACCCAATAGAGATCTACCTCAGAGTATGTAAGATTGTTACAGATGTTAGGTGACGATACTGTATGCTTTTTCTAGCCACAAAGGGAAGCTGCCTTTGCATGTGTCCTACTGACAGACACCGTTGGAGTATCAGATACTTTCTCCATTCCATTGCAGAATCTGTTTTTCTACAGCTCAGGCTAAGCAAAAAAATTGACCTTGTCCAGAAACTTGACCGGTTAGACTAATTTCTAATATTAACTGTTGCTATAATCAGCCATATTTAAAGTACAGAAAACATTCATTTCCTTTTGTTTTATAATTATTTTGAAAAAAAAAATAATCAAATGTGAGGAATATTATTAAAATATGGTTCCTGATCCATTTAAAGTAACACAAAACAACAAGCCCTATTTCTACGGCGACACTGTACCTGAAAACCATTGACAATGGGCTGCCTCTTTTCATGATCAGTTCAGGCCAAGTCATGTAACAGTCTGTGCCCAATGTCTGAAGATTATACTAGAATATTATTTATTTCGGGCTTTATTTTTTGCCTTTTTACAGAACCTGGAATTTTAGGGGCTTCATGCAGGTCTCAGTAAGACGTGCTTTTAGCCTCATGTGGAAATTTGAATATATTATGGGCCAACACATCTCTGCATATTTGACAAGCATGGATTTATTGTAGCTAGTTTTACCTCTGTGCAGATAGCTCTGAAAAAACGTCATTCTTACCCATTACGCAGTTTATTTTCTCACTGCTTATTTGGCAGTTTAAGTTTCAATATTCTTGCTGCTTTTCAAGAGATGTATTACTCTAGATGTTTACAAACAAAGTTTTTTCCTGCTTAATGATGAAAAAGCCGCAGTTTGATAATGTATGACAAGCAGGGACTCACCTTGTCAAGAACCACCAACATGGGAATGTAAAAAGCCTTAGAAATGTCTCCCCTTTGTGACGGAAGTGCATCACTTAGTGACTTAGTAAATCATATATTAATTTATATACGTAGGTACGCTTATGTGAGGATATCAGATTTTTTCACTTGTAAAAGGATGAATAGCCTCAGAGTTGACCTTCTCCTTGCAAATACAGTCAGGAGTCAGATGTAGTGCAGAGCAGTGAGACAGGGTCGGTGGGCCTGCCTGCCTTTCCTTCTGTCCAGTAGAGTAAAGTAGACCTAGCTTATATGTCTTCGAGAGCGGCTCCCACTGTGGAGGAGTGTGATTAGAGACAAAGAGAGACTCGACCAAAGAAAGCACATGTGAAGCGTGGCCAAAGGTCAGGACACCTCCATGACAGGAAAATGAAGGCCGGCACATTCAAAAATCTATCGCATTGATTTCAGTGAAACTCAACTCAAAATTCAAACCGAATACAATGCTTTTAAAAATAAATCTGTGTTTTTTCTGTTGTTCTAAATATATCTTTGTGGAATTGTGTGATGTATCATTCCGGACATGTACAAAAGATTTTTAAAAAGTAAATCCAATACATAACGGCGTTGTATCCCTTCAGTGAAGGACTTAAGTCTTTTATTATTTTAGCTTCCGTTCAAAGCTATTTATTTTTGTAAATTTTGTATCTTTTGGACATCAGATTATAAAAGTTTTTGAGATGCTGCTGTCTTCCAGAATAATATGTAATTCACAAAGTTGTAAAGTAAAATATGAGAATAAAGATGTCTCTTTTAACGCCATTGATTTTCTTTTTCCTAATTTCAAAGAATATTGCCATGCTTATATCCCTGCTATCCAGGCGACGCGGTGGTGCAGTGGTGAGCACTGCTGCATCACCATGCTTATATCCCTGCTAGCTGGGTGGTGCAGTGGTGAGCACTGCTGCCTCACCATGCTTATATCCCTGCTAGCTGGGTGGTGTGGAGGTGCAGTGGTCAGCATCAAATAAATAAATTAACTTGGAGCAAAAGAGAAGTTCTGAATTCACTTTTATAAGTCTGCCCAACATTTGCTAAAAATTATCTCCATCTCTATAGATGTGCCTACTGTCCAAGATCATAGTATGTTACTGGCAGTGTGACACAAGAGGCAGCGCATCCAAGAATGGCTATTATCATGAATGTCTATGCTCTCAAGAGCTGAAAATAACAATAAGGGTACTGTGACTTTCTGTAAAGGCCTGGTATTCATTTGGCAAAAGAATCCAGCACCAGATGGACCCTCTCCAGAACCTCTTCACGATCAAAGTACCATGCAGTAGATGGGTCCAAGACTCTGTCAGGCGCAACAATAACAAACTCAGTGAGGACCTTCAGCTGGGCTTGGAAATGTACAGGTAATTACAGTAGCTAGTGGATACTATAAGAAAAGATAATTATTAACCATTTCTGAGATGATGCATTATAAAGTGGCTTGTCATGCTGAGCATTTAACAAATACACTGTAGTAAAATAACAAGAAAACTAAAGACAAATAAAGAGGAAAATAACCGGACAGAGGGTTAGACACATAAGAACAAATATCCTTGCACTGAAGTTGTACCAGTCTTTATTGGAGCACGTCAGAATATTTTAACGAAATTTAACTAAAAAAAAAAAAGCTATTTAAATATATAGTACTCTAAGGCATAACAACAACCGATAAAACCATAATGGTGAATTACATAATAAATTAGTTGCAGTGCTCATGGTGCCTTTACTTAGTATCAGGTCTGGCTTGTTAAGGTTGCAGTGCTCATGGTGCC